CGCGTCGAAGATGCTTCCGGGATGCTCGGCCTTTTGCGAACACCTTCACAATGCTGCCAAAACCGCGCGAGCATTCTTTGAGCATCGCCAAAGTCCGACCAAAACCGCGCGAGCAGTTTTGGAGCGTCATCATTCTACAACAAGAACCACGCGGCAGCGTTTGACAGTAGACGACGTAAACGGACTAGTGATGCGGTTCGCCTGGACAGATGCCAGGGGGGTAGGGGGCGCTCGGTCGCTTGGTAAGAGGGCAAGGAGCAAGGATATCGGATATCGTCTGGGGGGTGGGCGGGGTGGGGTGGGGGGTGGGGTGGGGGGTGGGGGGCGGGGGCGGTGGGTGGGTGCGTGGGGTGGTGTGGGGTGTGGTGTGTGGTGTGTGCGTGTGTGTGGCTGGGTGGGTGGGTGGGGTGGGGCGGGGGGGGGGGGGGGGGGGGGGGGGGATGGGGGGCGACCGCGCTCGGACCACGCTCGGACCACGCTCGGACCACGCTCGAACCACGCTCGGACCACGCCTCGGACAACGCTCGGACCACACCCCGGACCACGCTCGGACCTCGTTCGGACCGCGCCTCGGACCACGCTCGGACCACGCCTCGGACCACGCCTCGGACCACGCTCGGGCCACGCTCGGACCGCGCGCGGACCACGCCTCGGACCGCGATCGGACCACGCCCCGTACCACGCTCGGACCACGCCTCGGACCACGCTCGGACCACGCCTCGGACCACGCTCGGACCACGCTCGGAAGACGCTCGGACCACAGTCGGACCCAGCTCGGACCATGCTCGGACCACGCCTCGGACCACGCGCGGACCACGCCTCGGACCACGCCTCGGACCACGCCTCGGACCACGCCTCGGACCACGCGCGGACCTTCTTCGGACCACGCCTCGGACCACGCCCCGGACCACGTTCGGACCACGCCTCGGACCGCGCTCGGACCACGCTTCGGACCACGCCTCGGACCACGTCTCGGACCACGCGCGGAGCACGCTCGGACGCTCGGAGCACGCTTAGACCTTAGACGCTTAGACCTTAGACGCTCAGACCATAGGCCGCAGGCCACAGGTGGACAGGACACGATTCGCGCGGGTGGTGTACCGAAGCGCGAAATGGGAAATGGGCGCGGGGGCGGCGTGCATGCGAGCACGCCTGCTGGGACCATGGTGGGGCCCCCTGGAGGGCGCGCGCCTACGTCGATGATGGAGAGAATCCCACAAGGGTCAAGGTCTCGACCTATAGAGTCGTCGCCGATGGGTTTTCACGATTTTGGGGTCTCAGCCCATAGGCCATAGGGTCTCGGCCCATGGGATTTGACCCCTGGCGTCTCCGCCCATGGGGTCTCGGCGCATGGGCCATGGGGGCCGCGTCTCGGCCAATGTGGTTCGGGATTCGAAATCAGGCAAGGGTTACAGGTTAAGGGTTAATGGGGTTAAGGATTTTAGGCTTAGGGCTTAGGGGCTTAGGGGCCTGGGGTCTCGGACCATGACATGTCGACAGGCGCCGGGCCAAGCAGCCGAGCAATCATGGCGACTCTTATATGCTCCGCGAGGGAAGGAGAAAATGTGCAGTGGGAGGGCTGGCCCCGAATCCGGGCGGCGCCCCCCCCCCCCTCGCGGAGCACTCCATTTCGACGATGCCCCAAACATGCTCGCGCGTTTTTGGTGGCATTTTGATTCTCTAGGGCGGGCAGAAGGGAAGGAGAACGAGAAGGATGACGAGTCTGGGTTGTGGGCTAGGGGCCAGCGGTGCGCTTCCTAGGCTCCGATGGCAAGCTAGTCCGTCTCAGGAGCATCCTGGAACTTTTTTGGCAAAGGATCTAGGGTCTAGGGTGCGGGGTCTAGGGTCCAGGGTCTGGGTCTAGGGTCTCAAGCCGAGGGTCTCATGTCTAGAGTCTGGAGTGTAAAGTCTGGGGTCTAGGGTCTAAGGTCTAGGGTCAAAGGTCTAAGGCCAAGGGCGTGGCGCCTATGCCCTAGGGCCCTGGGGCCTAAGGCCTGGCCTTCGCGTTCAACGTCTAAGGCTTAGGCCTGAGGCTTAGGGCCTAAGGCTTCAGGGCGGAGCAGGGGTCCGGGAGGCGGTGGAGCATCCCGAGGAGGGCCAGGGCGATACCCGGGAGGCGGAGCATTTTTGGAGCATCTTTAGGAGCAGTTTTAGGGGTCGTCTTTGGAGCATCCCGAGGAGGACCAGGACCTTACCCGGGAGCCGCGGAGCATTTTTGGAGCATTTTTGGAGCATCTTTACGAGCATATTTGAGACGAAACGGGGACATAGCATTTTTTGAGCATCTTTAGAAGCATGTTTAGGAGCATGTTTAGAAGCATTTTTGGAGCATCCCGAGGAGGACCAGGACCTCACCCGGGAGGCGGAGCATTTTTGGTGCATTTTTGGAACATCTTTCGGAACATTTTTAGGAGCATTTTTGGAGCATCCCGAGGAGGACCAGGACCTTACCCGGGAGGCGGGGCATTTTTTGAGCATTTTTTGAGCATGTTTAGGGGCACTTTTTGAGCATCCCGAGCAGGGCCAGGGCGGGGTCCCGGGGAGCGGAGCATTCTTGAAGCATGTCTGGAGGGGTTCGCAGCCGCCCCTCAGGGGGGTCGCAGCCGCCCCTCAGGGGGTTCGCAGCCGCCCCTCAGGGGGGTTGCACATTCCCCCCCAGGGGGGTCACAGGCTCCAGATTTTTGCAAAGTCCCCCCAGGGAGGTCGCAGGCTCCAGATTTGTGCAAAGTCCCCCCAAGGGGGTCGCAGGCTCAAGATTTTTGCAAAGTCCCCCCAGGGGGGCCGCGGGCTCTAGATTTTCGCAAATTCCCCCCGGGGGGGGGTCGCAGGCCCCAGTATTGAAATCGCTTGAAAATTGGAAAAAAATCGCTTGCGCTCCGCGCGAGTTTGTAATGATTTCCTTTGATAATCGCAAAAACCGCTCGCGTTCCGCGCTAGCTCGGGACGTTTGCGAAAAGTCCCCCCAGGGGGGGCGCGGGCTCCAGATTTTCGCGAAGTCCCCCCAGGGGGGTCGCGGGCTCCAGATTTTAGCAAAGTGCAAAGTGCAAAATCCCCCCCCCCCCCCCCCCCCAAGGGGGTCGCAGGCTTCAGGCTTCAGGTTTCAGATTTGTGCAAAGTCCCCTCAGGGGGGTCGCAGGTCGCAGGGTCGCAGGCAGCAGATTTTTGCAAAATCCCCCCTCCCCAGGGGGGTCGCAGGCTGCAGATTTTTGCAAAATGCAACGCCTTGTCCCCTCAGGGCCCCAGGGGGGTCGCATGCTGCATGCTCCCGGTTTTGGCAAAGTCCACCCAGTGGGGCCTATGGCCTATGGCCTATGTATGGCCTATGGTCCTACGGTCCTACGGTCCTACGGCTCATGGCCTATGGCCTAGGGCCTATGGTCCTACGGTCCTACGGCCCACGGTCCGACGTCCTGCGGCCTAGGGCGTAGGGCCTAGGGCCTAGGGCTTAGGGCGGAGGGCCGGCCCCGCGCGCGCGGCAGAGGGGCGCGCCCGCAGTGGAAATGGCGCTGCTGATCTGGCGGCGCGCGTGTGCCCCGAGGCCGCCGCCGGGCTCGTGGCCGGCGCGGCCACCGGGCCGCGCGCGCGCCTCGCCACTGCGGCCGACCTCGCAGCCCCGAGCAGTCGCCCCGAAGCTAGTCCGCCTTGAGCTTGCACGCAGGAGCCGCCCCGAAACGGCCGACGCACCCCCACAGAGGCCACCCGGCAACCCGTGAACCAGGGGCCCTTCCTCCTCCGCCTCCTCTTCCTCCTCCCTTCTCCTCCTTCCTCCTCCTCATCATCCATTATCATACATATTATGTTGTCATACATATTGTTGCGGTGTTATCTGTTACCTGCCACCGTAGCCCGTAGCCATTTTGGCATTTTGGTCAAAGGACAGCATCTTTCGAAGTGTCGAAGTGGCGTAGGGCGCAGGGCCTTGCCGCCTTGTCGCCCCAGAGCAGCGCAATAGCGCAATAGCGGTGGCGAAGCTCCTGGGGTTCTTCAGGTAGGGAATAAGGGAGTAGGGAGTTGGGAGTAGGGGTCCATCATCAGGCATTAATCATTAATCATTCGTCAATGGGATGCAGCTGTGCAGGCTTCCTAGCTCCTAGTACGTTGCATCGCTGGGTCCAGCTCTCCAGCTTCCAGCTGCCAACTCTCTTCTCTATTCTATACTCTATCGCTTTGGGCATCTTATTTCTTATAACTTATAACCTATAACCGAATAACGAATAACCAAGAACCTCATGTAGCTATCGAGCTATCTAGAACTTAGAGCTGAGAGCTTAGAGACTACAGGATTGGAGATCTAGGTTGTAGGTTCAATGCAAATCCTGTAGATTGGCCATAGACCATAGACTCCTAAATCCTTGATATGATAATATGATTGAGTTTATGGTGTTATATGTTATAGTCATACTACTACATGATATAGGCTATAGGCTATAGGAATCGCATTACGGTGTTGAGTTTTAAATGTTAAGTGTTAAGACCAGGCCCCTAGGGCTTAGGGCCTAGGGGCCTAGTGCCTACTTAGTGCCTAGCCCATAGGTCCATGGGCCGTCGTCGTCGACGGCGGCGTCGGGCGGCGGCGTCGAAGTCGGCGTCGGCGTCGTCTGCGGCGGCGGCGGCGGCGCCGTCGGCGCTGAAATCCGAAACCCGAAACCCCGCGTCGGCGTCGGCGCCGTCGTCGTCGATGGCGGCGGCGGCGTCGGCGTCGGCGTCGGCGGCGGCGGCGACGGCGGCCGCGGCGGCGTCGGCGGCGGCGGCGGCGGCGACGGCGGCCGCGGCGGCGTCGGCGTCGGCGTCGGCGATGGGGGGATCTTCAGAACGCGCCCGAAACCGAACGAGCGCGAAAACCGCGCGAGCATTTTTCGGAGCATCGTCGAATTGTGCCGAACCCGCGCGAGCATTTTTCGGAGCACCGTCAAATTGCGCCGAACCCGCGCGAGCATACCCGCGAGCAGCCAAATGGAGCATTTTTTGAGCATAAATAACGTTTTCAGCATTTCCCAGAGATGCGCGTGACGGGTGCATCGCAAGGCTTCACGATCACGGCGGGCATCGGGCAGGGATGTCCTGTCAGCCCCTTGCTCTTTGTGCTTGTAACGTTCAACCGCCAGTTGGACACCGTCGAAGGCCGCCGCGAGCGCTGGGCATTCGCCAATGACTTCGCTCTTGCGGGGGCCGGCGGGCATTGGGCACGGCCGCAGCTGCGCCGCCACTTCGCGCCCTCCGCCGCAGCGTCTGGGCTGCGCCTGAATTTCGAAAAGATTGTGATGTAGCCCCTTTAGACGCGGCAATCCGGCGCCGTGGCGGGCGCCTGGCGGCAGGCGTCGCCAGACTGGGGCGCGGCGCGAATCGCCTTCTGCGGCGCGCACCTGGGGTTCGAGGTCGGCCCAGCGGCGGCGGAGAGTAGATGGGGGGACTCCGTGCGGAAGTACAAGGAGGCGGTTTGAAATTGGACTAGTCGCGTGCGCGGCATGCACCTGGGGACATCGGCATACAACGTCTTCGCGATATCGAAGCTACAGTATGTGGCGCAGTTGCATGGGGCGCTTCCCGACTGGTCCCGGTTGGAGCAGTGGGCGATTCAATCTCTCTCCCCTGGCTCGCACAAGTGGTTTCCCCCTGGCAGGCCCCGCGGCCCAGCTTCGGGTGGCTCTTGTTGGGGGGAACTACCAGCGCCGTCTCCGCCTGGACGAGCTGCGGGGCCGCTTCGAGGCAGCTCGCTCCCGTGCCGCGGCACCTTCCTGGGACATCGAGTGGAGATGGCACGCTTGGTTCACCGCCGACCCTGTCCCGAAACTCCTAGCCGCGATGGGGAGCTTGGCCCGCCAGGGCATCGCAGAGCCCAGCGTCGTGGAGCAGGGGGCGGGGCGCGGCCCGCGCCCAATCACTCTCGCGACCTGGCGGCGTGTTTGCCGGCGGTTCCAGTCATCGGCGGCGATGCTCTTGCGGCGGAGGCGTTGGATCCCTGCCGGGCAGGACCCGGGCTCCCTGCCGGGCCGCCGGGCCCAGCGGTGCCGACTGGTCATGCAGCGTCTGCCGAGCTCACGGCGCCGCGAGTGCGAGCGGCCGTGCTGCGCACCTGGCTCAACGGCTGGTGCACAGGGCCCCGTTTTGGGGCCCGCGGAGGGCGCTGCCTCTTCGGCTGCACCGAGGGTGATGACGACGTCCGGCATTACGTCCGCTGCCGGCATCTCTGGCGATTTGGGGTGGACAAGTTTGGTTTGGCGGACCCAGGGCACCCCGAGGCCCGCGCCACGCGGGCTCTGCTGTGGCACGCCGGAGCCCCTCCTCAGGAAGTGGCCCGCACGGCAACGATGGTCGCCGTCGGCTACAAGGCCCACGCCGTTGTCAGCCACGCGGCGAGGGCCAACCCTTACATCCAGAGGGTGTTCGCGGAGGTCCTCCGGCAACTCCAGAAACGGCAGCCCGCGGCAGGCGAGGCGGGCAACGGTGGGTGGGTGTGAAAGAGTCCTTTCTGCGCCATCCTCCCTGTCCCTCCTCCTCCGACTCGCGTGGCCGCCTTCCTGGTCCGTGCTGCAGGTCGGGTTTGGTTTCTGCGTGGCTGTGGAGGCCCCCATCGTTCGACTTGAGCGTGCAATCGCACTCCTCCCCCTCATTCCTCTGTCCTCCGCCTCTTCCTCTTTTCCTTCGCCTCCCCGGTACTTTCAATATGTTGATGCCATTGATCTGGGCCATCGTTGCTGGCAGCACGGTCAGACGAGGCTTCAATGGAGGGCAGTTCTACTCTTCACCAGCAGCCTTTCAACGCCGAGTTTCGCCACATTTTAGTTGCGGGATCGTGGCTGTTTTGGTTGATGCCGGCCCATGCGTTTATTTCCCGCTTTGCTGGTGCATCTGTCGTGTGGTTTTGACTTGAAGCGCGGGGGGGCTCCCGCACAGACGCAGCCCACAGCGGAACGCAAGGCAACTGTACAGCGTGCGAGTGCTGTCTTGGCCGCGTGGCCAGCAGTGACGGCCCGGGCCCGCATGGGGCCGCGCCTGCTGCGAAGGTCCCACGTGATCCCCTCTTCTCTTCCTCCCGCGCCCGCCTCCCGAAGGCGGAGCTCCGGCTATCCCTTCCTGTGTGGGCCAGATCCTCGCCTCCTCTCCTTGTCTCTTCCTCGCTCCCCCCGTGCACGCCGTCTCGCCCAGCCGTCGGCGAGGGCCGCTTGGAGGGCTATAGGTGGCACGCTGTTCTGCACGAGCGATCCTCCTCCCCTCCGTCCCCCCCCGCCGGCCCCCCGCGTTGCCGAACCATGGGCTTGGTGCTCTCGATGGGCCGTTCGGGGTGAATTCGTGCATGGGGGTTTGACCTTGCTCACTTCAGGAGGGAAACAAAAACACACAGACACAATTAATCCTCGATTTCCCAGAAAATGTGGGAAAACATGGGAAGTGGGGGGGAAGACGAAAACCCTAAAACTATGCGAAAATAGGGGGAAACATGTTATCTGTGTGTATTTGTTTGTGTGTCCTGGGGCCCCTTTATCACTGCCCTTCGGCCGGGCCTCCTCCTCAGGTCCGCCCGGCCTCCAGGGTCCCTCGGAGCCTCCGCTGGTCCGCTCCGGGCCTCGACCGGGCGGTCGGGCTCCCGAAACGCAGCGTGTCGATTGCCAATTCTGCCATTCTCCTTGTCGCCTCTCGTTTTCTCGGGTGATCTACAGCCGCGGGGTGCTTTGATCCCTCCCTCCCTCCCTCCCTCCCTCCCTGTCTGTCCTACTTTCTGGACGCCCGAAATGGGTACGGAAAGAATGGGTGCAATGCCCAACAGCAGTTCCTGTTCATTCTGAGCAGGATTCTCTGTCCTCGCCGCCGCGGCCTGTGTCCATTCGAGACAGAAGGCCGCCTGCCCAACAGCGGGTGCTGTTGGTTTGGGACAACATTTGTTGTTGGGCATTGTACCCATTTTTTCCGTACCCATTTCGAGCGTCCAAATACATGCTTCCGCGGTTCGCGTTCTTCTTGACCCTCTTCCTTCTGTTTTTTTGTTCTTGCTGTGGCCATCCATGTTCTCTTGGAGTTGGGCTCCAAGAGCATGCCCGGACATGCGTGATATTTTCAGTTTTGGGCCTGGAGGGTTCCCCTGGTAGCTCTTTCAACGGCACGCGAGCTCATCTGTTCTGTCCGCTGCGCCCCCTCAGCTTTCCTTTTTCTTCTCCCCAAAATATCGGGGGTGGACAGAACCCCAACAGTGACACGTCGATTCGTGAACTGTTTGTTTTCGGTTCTCGAGAGGGCGCCGTGGCCGTTATTTTCCAGGCCTGCGCCCGCCAGGTTTGTGCCTCAGGTCGTTCTCACTAAACCACGTTTTACTAAAGGGGCGTCTGTCCATCCCCGAAAATAGCGCTGGAAACAAAAATTATCCCAGTGCGACCCTACCTAGGAGTTGGAGGATCTAGGAAAGCAACATCTATATGAAGCTAAGTTCAGCTAAGATGAAGCTAAGCTAAGATGAAATAAGCTAAGCTAAGATGAGATAAGCAACGCTAAGCTAAGGGAACGTCACTGGGGGAACCGTGGGGCAGATACTGGGGGAACCGCCCGGGGTGAGTTGCACTGCCTGGCCCTTTAAGCATACCGAGTAAGAACCCTTCTAGGCAGAGCCTAGGTAGGGAAAAAAGTCTTCGCAAGGATCGTGTGGAGGTGCCTCCGGCAGGGGCCGCACGGGCGCCCCCCGCCTTCGGGCGCCGGTCGCCTCTCCCGTTGCTCTTTTGCCCTCTCCCAGCAAAGCGCGCCCGTGTTCGTCTCGGGGCCTTTGGGTGGATTTCCATCCTCTCTTTTCTTGGGTCGCGTCCCAGGGCAAGCCTAACCCAAGAACGCCCGATGTGTTTTTTTTCGGCGGCGGTGTGTGTGTGTGTGTGTGTGTGTGTGTCTGTGTGTGTCTGTGTGTGTGTGTGTGTCTGTGCGTGTGTGTGTGTCTGTGTGTGTCTGTGTGTGTGTGTGTGTGTCTGTGCGTGTGTGTGTGTCTGTCTGTGTGTGTGTGTCTGTCTGTCTGTCTGTCTGTCTGTCTGTCTGTCTGTCTGTCTGTCTGTCTGTCTGTCTGTCTGTCTGTCTGTCTGTCTGTCTGTCTGTCTGTCTGTCTGTGCGTGCGTGCGTGCGTGCGTGCGTGCGTGCGTGCGTGCGTGCGTGCGTGCGTGCGTGCGTGTGTGTGTGTGTGTGTGTGTGTGTCTGTGAGTGTCTGTTTGTGTCTGTGTGTTTGTGTTTTTACCCGTTGCGCTTGGCGCGTGTTTGAATTTTGACGGTGGCCCTGTCTGGGCTTTGAGGGTTCGTGGGTCCGTCTTGGTCTTTCCCTTCTCCGCCCTTCCTCGCCCCTTTCACCTGCTACTGCTTCTGCTTGCCCTGCAGCGGAGGTGGGCCCCCCGCATTCTTGCCTTCTCTCGAGACAGGGTGTCGGCCCCGCGTCGTCGTCGCGCTCGTTGTCGACGCCGCCGTGAGGAGCGACTGTTTGCGGTTTGATCTCAATGATCATTCCCCTTTCGGGGCGTCCTCGCGAGTCGCGGCTGGACGCGGGCCCGAAAACTGTCGGGAGCCTGGCCGCCTTCAAAGGCGAGCCAGGGCCCTTGGGAGGCAACCAGGGAGTTTGGCCACAGCATCGATGCAGCCCGTTCCGTGCTCTGGGCACTTGGTGGGCCCCGCCAGGTCGACGTGGGCGTGTGGTCGGCGTCCCTCTGCTGCAGAGCGGCGGGGTTTCGCGCTGAGAAGTAGGGGGCCACAGGCGAACCCTACCCCTACTCCCCACGATTTCTGAGGGGGAGGGTGGGGTCTCCTTTTGCCATTTGTTGAAGGAGGGCGGACGGAGGGTGGGGAGGTGGAGCGGGGCTTCCTCGGTAGTTGTTCTCTTGCTTTTGCCAGGCGCCGCTTCCAGCGCCGTCGAGAAGATTCTGGCCGGGGCCCCCCGAGACGAGCTGGTCCGAGCTATTTTCGCGGCGCTGGACACCGACAAGGACCTGGCGGTCGGACCCAATACGGGAGAAGGGGATGGGGGAGAGTCGGGGAAGAGCGTAAG